TAAAGGAATCAAGACGTAACAAAAAGGCTATATGTGATTCCACTTCGTCTATCAAATGGCTATCTCGGTTTTTGAAAATTTTGGATTTTGGCCCAAAACTTTTTTCTTAAGAAAACTGACTTTTGGGAAAATAATTATAAATCCAAAACTTTTAGTGTATCGAAAAAACGGAATATATCTCAGAAAAGTGATCTAGGTGCATCAACTTACCAATTTTTAGATGAATCGGTCCGAAAATGTGAGAGTTATTCAAAATTTTATGATGTCCCGACACACAAAATTTTTGACAAATGAATTTTCTGGAAGTTCTAGACCTCGCACGGTAACAAAACAGCACCATTCGATTCGCCGTGAAAAACTGCATCAGATAGACACCTTTTTAGGTCTTAACAACCAACTTCAAAATTTGACCTCACTTGACCTGACCTTGACCTGACTTCGACCTGAAATTCATCCAGATGTGGTCAATTCATCCCTCTTAATTGAAGGTGTTCCGCCGGTACTGCGTACACCCCTCGAAGATCGCAATGAGCCTCCCGGATGAAACCGTTTTCTAATATCGGTGGCGATATACAGTCCAAAATAGAGAGAATAAGATACTCGGTGCCGCTCCCTAACCCCCTTCCCCCCCCCCGCTCCACGGGCGATGGTTGGATTTCTGCACCCAGAATGTTCCAGCTGTTCCTACGCCAATCAAGTAGGTACACATGACACAATGAACCGGAATATGGCACCCGTGACCCCTTGTTATGCCCTGAGGTCACATCAGGTCGCGAAAGGTATGCACAATTTTCGGTAATAAATTTCGGTAAAGGCATGCTACATAGAGTGATGAAAACACATTCGATGTGTTCCACTGGACGATACCAATCGACTGATATGCATCACGAAGTTTCCGGCCAGGTCATGACCTAGACCAGTCTAGTCAGCCTAAGGTTCATTCGATGCGTCTCGACCAGAAAAACACGTTTCTGGTGAAGGAAAGCTCGTGCAAGTTTAGAGTCAAAAGTTATTGCGGAAAAACTGTTTTTGCAGAGTCGTCTATTTTGGACGTTTATGCCCCTGCAAGATAAACCGTGGACCTTACGTCAAATCTGAGGACATGCTAGCGGAAGAACGTTAAAAGAACGTTTGATCGCACCTCTCCGCGGCGCTATAGCTCTATCCATTCCTTAGCTATGGACCGATTTGTCGAAAATTGTCGAAGTTTGACCTATAGATATTGGCGACATTTTACCTTCGATGACCTTTGGTGACCTGCTTTTTGGCCTACACCTGACCTAAAAATGGCCGCAGCAGTTTGATCCTCATTTTTTAGCTTTTTCAAGTGTCGCCTACGGCGTGTCGCTACGTGGCTCAGGAGCCAAGTTAGAAGGGGTGTTCCCCCTCCCAGCGGGCATGGAAATCCAAGAGCCCCAGCGGGACGCCGGTTAAAAGCTGCTGGAAGTCAAGCCAATATCCTACTACAAAACAGACGAGATCTATTTTAAGTAATTTCCATCTGTTAAAACAGACAACAAAACAGACCCCTAAAGCCCCTAGGCAAAACTGCGACCAACGCATTGCACTGGTTGCAAACAAAATAAAAAGAGCTGGCGGCTGCACAGCGCGTTCCAACTAAACAAAAATCAATGAAACTCGAAAAACTCAAGTCACGAAGCGATAAATCGAAAAATCGAAAAACCGACGCGAAAAAGCGATAAATCGAACCGAAAAAGCGAAAAACCGAAAAATCAAAAACCGAAAAAGTGTCCCGTGTAGCTTGACCTTTATTCCTTCTTCTCCGAATTTTGCTCGATTTTCTTCATCTTAGTTAATTGTTACGGCACGTGCCACGTGCCAACTTAGGGGCGTCGAAATTGTTCCACATAAAGTAACTCCGCAATGGCTGGGCCCATTACAGTAAAACTTCGTCAATAGTTAGGCACCCAGTGGCCAATGCATTTCCATTTGTCACTATGAGGGTGCTACTGCACGTGCGCACGTGCGGGGTGCCGCTTCCATATCTCAAGAACGGCTGGGCGGATAACACTCAAACTTGGTACACAAATGTCACATCGATGCTCGCACTGCATTGATCAGTGCTTACATTGGTGCAGAGTCGTTAGGAAAACGATGAAATGAGATGCGTGGTGTTTATGTTTTTCTGTTCCAGCAGCTGATTGATCCGCAACAGGAGATCCTTGTTTGTGAAGGCTTCTTCTCCCTTTTCCACCCCTTGTTTAAAATAACATAACAATGTACGAAGAAGATCACACATCAAAGTTGTTTTAGGCGGCTATCTTGGGCCAGGGCTGCGGAGTTGTAGTCGCAGAGCCAGCGGTTCAGTTCCGACTCGGAGTCGGTTGATTTTTAAAAGCTGTAGTCGGAATATGAGTCGAACGTCACCGAAAAGTCATCGACTCCACAGACTTACCAGGGCTGCAGAGTCGGAGTCAGAGTTGGAGTCTGTGTGAATCGACAGTTCTGCCCGGAGGAGTCGGAGTCGATATTTGGATACCGGAATCGGAGTTGGAGCCAAAGTCACTGAAATTTCATCGACTACGCAGCACTGGTTGGGTCCTTTTCATAGAGCGTCTTGAATGACATATTGAGCGGCAATGACGTTAGCAATTCCGTTAAACTTTTTTCATTAGACTTATAGATAGTGCTTAACGTTCGTTTTGTTCTTTGATCGGACAATTTGTTTGATTTAGGTCAAGTAAAGACTCATGTGAAAAATAGGGAAAACGACACGTGCTGGCGATGTCTCCAATAACTCCCTGTTTCACGATTTAATGAGGAAATAACATGGAACTGCTTATCTTCTTACTGACCCTGCACATAAATCTATTAATTTCTTCACTTTTACTGACATATAAAGACATAACCTTTTGAAAAATTGCACAACAAGCCCGCTACTACACCACACTCCCGTGTGTCACAATGCTAATCAGCGGCGTTCACTCGGCTTGCTCCTTACTTACGATAATTCTCCCGCTAGATGGCAGGCCTGAGCTGAATGTCGCCAAAAACTGCGAAGACACCAATCCATTATTATCTCATCCATGCCCCAGCAATTGCCGGGTTTGTATAGTGGTTGTTGTGTCCAACTTTTAACATCTTCTTTCAGAGTTGGTGCCGAGACTTAATTTAGGCCAGGTAACTAGCGCTAATACCTAATCCCTATATGTCAGTCTCACCAAAATGGTTAATATTTACTCCATGAGCAACATCTGACAGCGTTCGAAAGCTTCAAGCGATTGGTACTGTGGCAAAACTCAAATGACAAGCTGAGCAAGATGAGCAAAACTAAAAAAGTAGGTTTCCCGGATTTTCGTTTTTTGATTCCTAACTCCTAGGACCTAGAACTAATGTCTGTTAAAATTACGACCTCTCGATTCGGGCATTATCAGAAAATAGAAGGAGAAAAACTGTCTTTTTGTACGCAGACAATTATAAACACTGTTGAATTGAACTGCTAATGAAGGCATTGGAAAATTGTACCTACGCAGACTCAACACTTAACTTTTGAGGCCATGTGACGTCCGGTAGGGTCAAGCATATTTTTTTTTATCGGCAAGAACTTCTAACACAGACATCCTTATTGCTAAGGCATGTAACAATTAAGATGTTCCGATCTCAACAAAAGGTGCGATTCGCTCGCCTGATATGTAACAAGACGTTTCGCATTAGGAAATGTCTTGAGCTAGAGGTAAGATTTCAAAACTGATTTTATCTTAGTTCCAAGGAACATCATTCGGTCTATATAAGATGCCATAATCATTTTATCATTTACTGATATATGAGACGATAAACGATTCTTCCACAAATCATTCGGGTAAATTTGACGATTAGTGACCTGTCACAATCTTAGCTTTGATCTGACCCGCAACCAAGTGGAGTAGATTCCCATCATTTTCTTTTAATCTTTCGACCACCGTGTTCTGCTAGTTGGCTTGGTTAGGTAGGCGAGAAAACTTCAGTCACCCGGCGTGTAACGAAGAGTGTTTGAATATCATCCGTGTTTTTTTCCGCAGATATTTCCGCGTCGACGTTTTTGGTATGCTGACCTGTCCGTGTAAATTATTAAATATTTTCTGCATATGTAAAAAGTTTAGACGCAGGTCGCTCAGGGTCAGGTCATCAGGTCACGTCAAATAACCTTATTCAGAAAAGTTATATTGCTCATCATAGCTACACGTACAGAACGATCGCCTTGAAACTTTCAGCGATTGATAAGAGAAGCAGTGTGTATAAAATCACTCGGAAATTTGATATCGGTGACTCAAGGTCAGCTCAACTTTGCGACCTCTCCATTATAAGTCAATGGGAGAGAATTGAAAAGGTCCTCTTTGGACGAACGTCATACTTAACAATCAAATATTGGATAAAGTTAAATATAAAGCATTGAATCGAATGTTTGCGCTCGTGACCCCTCTTTATGCCCCTGAGGTCATCTCAGGTCACAAAAGGTATTCAACAGTTTCTCTCCGATAACTTTTGCTAGACGCATGTTAGAGCGATGCAAATGCCTTAGATGTGTTCAGCTTGACGATTTCAGCACGACCTTTTTCCCGTTAGGTCATTACCTTGACCTAAGGTCAAATTTTCTAGTTGACCTTTTAAGGTCAAATCATAGTTCATTCGACTCGTCTCGACGAGAGGAAGATAATGCCGGTAAGAAAAATATCGTGCAAGTTCTGAGTCAAAAGTTATCGCAGAAAGTCCGTTTCAGCTAAAAACATAAGAGTATTTTGGCAGACCTAACCATAATTGATTGCCCTTTACATGCTAAACCGTTGACTTAGGTCAAATCTGAGATGATCACTAAAAAAGAACGTTTAAAGAAGGGGGTGTTAAAACAGTAGGGCGTGGAAATCCAGGAGCCCCAGCGGGGCGCGGGTTAAAATCAAATAAGTGATTAATTTCAATGTTTGTTCTAGTGATTTTCTCCGAGCTTCGTGAAAATTTCCATTTTCTAGTATGGAACATCACAATTTTTATCAGTATGTGCTCACCTCGATGCTGTAGCTCTTTTTGATGGCGAACCTCTCTCGATTGGCGTCGGCCACGGTGGGTGTGCCGGCGGCGCTGGACCTGGCCTCCGAGCCCACCGGTGCCGCCGGCTGTGACCCGCCCATGACCGCCGCGGCACCGCCCGCCACCCACCTCAACACCCCCAGCCGCCCAAAGTCCATCGCGCACGAACGTTATATAGCGGACGGCGAGTCGGCGGACGGTCGCGGGCGTGCCGCGCGCGCGCGCGCGCCCTGACCACTCCTCCGAGCTGAGGGGGCGGCACACGCACCGGCCTAGACACCGCCCCGGAGAGCCGGCCGATCGCGGGAGTCGCCGTCCAGAGGCTAAGGCGAGAGGAGCGATAAACGTCCCGAAGAGTAACGCACGCTCACTTAATTTGATGATTCACTAATGATTTTCCGAAACAATGTTTGAACACTCCCGTTTTTGTATAGGTAGTTCAGACCCTCACCGCGGTGTGATCGTCCAGGTGCGACCACAGCGTATCCACGAGTGACCACAGGCGACTCATATGTCTATTATATCTGGGTCGGGAGAGACCTGTCGACCTGAAGGCGCGTCACACGGGCGGGGAGCGCCATCGACCCCTGAGGTGCGCCGTGTCCGTATCGAACATGCCCGGCATGTCGGAGATGATCGGAGCGGATCGGTCGCCGCTGTCAGACCAGCCCATGGCTGTATCGGGTCGAACTGGTGCACAGGCACTGATTCTGGGCGGTTTCCTGGACTTCTGCACTTACTCTGCCCCTCACCCCGTGAATAACAGATGTTGATACCGAAGACAAACGACTTGGAAATCGTTTGGCTTGCGGGTTATTGTACGAAGTTCAGTTTCATTTTCTTTCCTTTAACCAATTTATCCTTTTCACCTGAATTTTGTATATGGCCGGATTTTTTGAAGATTGGGCCGTACTAGAAAACTGGACTGTAAATGCTGTGTGAATCTTGCACACTTTATCATGATACAGAGTCTGCGTTATCAGGATTCAGCGAGTCGTTGACAAGGCAATTCGCCACATGTCAAAACCATCCACCATCCCACATGCAGCTGATGCCCAGCATGATAAGTGCCCTGGATGACCGGAAAAGCCAGTACGTGACCGTTTACAAATAGAGTTCGGGCGCGTTTACTTCGGAGGTGGCTCCTCTCAGCGTTCGTGTCCGAGCACCCTACATCTTTTTGCGTTAGCTTTTGACCATTGGACAAAACATTTGTGCACATTCGCCTTATAGATGGCGCTACAAATGGGCGGTTGGTCACAAGAATCACCATTGTGCAAAACTATTCGGCGGGCTTCCTCTACAACTCGACATTGAGCGAATGGTTCAACATTGTGCAAAATAAATCGTCCATGGTCGAAACTATTCGTTAATGCCGAGCTAGCTCGCTCAATGCCGAAGTCTGGCGAAGTGTCAAGCTGTTTTGCAGATCGCTCACTTCGGTGTTCAATCGGTTTTGCTGAATGGCTAAAATGGAACACATCACGCCGGATTAGTTGTGCCCAATGCCGATGGTCGAAATGGCTCCTGAAAGAGGTATGGCGATTGATTGAATTTAAATGAAAAAAGGTGTACTTACCTGATAAGCCAATTTGTGCAGTGTGCACTTAATTAAAGGAAATAGTTCACTTTTAACATGGGGTTTTGAGCTGGAATAGCAGTTTCGTAGCTTGAGCTGAGACTAGCACAAATCAGGAGCTTTTACGGCTCAACGATCACCCTAGACGAAGATATTCCATTTCTCGTTCCGAAGAGAGTGCCTTGTAGAGGAATGCGTGCCTTGCACAGGAATGCAGCCACGTCATCGTCAGCCAATCAGCGTGCTGCTTACAGCCAATGCAGTATGCGTGGGTTTGAGCTACGCAATATGATTGGTCAATGCGTAATAAGCTTCCGCGTCAAACATTATTTTACATAGAATATAGTTCGTCCTATATTAAAATATAGAAAATAATTGATTTTACAAAAAGGTTTTATTTTATTTCATGATTATTTTGAGCATAAAAAATGATAAATCAATAGCAAAATACTGATTTCAGGAAAGTGGACTGTTTCCTTTAAGTACCTATTTATATTTTTACTTTGACGTGAATCGGCGAATTTGATTTTTCCACTATAGCCATTGGTTAGCCATTGGTTATACATGCATCCGAGGGTGGGTAAGAAATGAGAATATTGATTAGTGCATATTCAACGCTCAGATTAATTTCTTTTGGACGCCATTTAATTGCGTCCCAGAAAAGCTATTTCTGGCACCTAAAAGCTGACTCGCCCCAAAATTGGTCCTCAGCACCTATTTGGTGGATACCAGCACCAATCATGGAAAATGACCTTAATTAGCTGTTTCTGGCACCTATTCATCGGTACGCCTTACTCTTTTTTCTGAATCTGGCACCTAAATGCTGAGCGTAGCACCAATCTAGTAGAAAAATGAACTACTGGCTGGTAGAATCATGTTGTTCTGGTATAATGACCCCTGGAGTCTAGCCTAAAGGTTGCCAGTGCAGCTACACTCTAAGACAGCCCCGTAGTGATCTCAGCATTGTATATGACGTTTAAGTAAGCAAATAATATTGATTTGTTTGAAAAACAATGTCATTTAAATATTTAAAAGTATTTATTTTTAATGGTTCAAGGGAAACATTTTTGTGAGTAATTGTCTCGATTTTGACCATTAAAACGGGTATTGTATTTTTTGACGTCATCAAATAGCTCCAAAAAAGAAATGTAATGTTTTCATTCCGTTCAAGGCCGCTGAAGAAACGCGGGATCTTGCGTGGGACATTGTCCGTTGTTTGCCGCGCAGAGTTGTGCCGTGGCGTGGTTGTGCCTTTTTCATCCGTTTCTTACTTATGTCATATGTGTGCATGAAGCTTTGATTTTGTTTTTGGTTATTGTGTGGCCGGTCAGTCAAACGCCCCTATAGAAACCGGATGCTGCGTTTGATCGAGACGGAGTCAGACGATGATTGCAGAAAGCTAATAATATTGAAAAGAGGGCCGGTTGCGTGGCATGTCTGTTCAGAGTTGACATTTTGCTTTACTCCAGTTTATGACCTGAGAGCCTGGCTGGAAGTGACGGATCCAAACTTTTCACGTTAAAATGGCTGAGGGTGCAATAATCTCTAGTCTCTACATAGCGGGCTGGTATAGGAGCGTCTTGCTATGCTGCACCATAGCTGGCTAGTGATTCTCTTTTGGCTAGAAATGGCATTAATCATTATCTCCACTGGCGAAAATGGCACTTGACATCACCGAATGCAACGTTCATGTTGTTAGGAGACATAAAATCAGGAAGATTACGCGAATTAGGTAAGCAAACGTGGAATAAAATAGGTGCTGGATGTTTTGGTTTTGGTGCTGAATCAGCAAACAGCAAATACGGAGTTCAACTAGACGATCTGGCAACTTTAGGCTGTGTGGAAGCAATTAGGTGCCAGATTCAGATATTAGGGTCGAATAAGCATTTTGGGGCTGATCAGCAATTAGGTGCCAGAAACAGCTTTTTAGGGACCAGAAACAAATATTCCCCATTTCTTTTTATCCGGGGTACAGTGCCGGCTTTTTTCATCTATCTAATAAACCTCGCTCCGTATCCAATCGCTACCGCCGCTGTGCCGGTCGTGACTCTGCGTGCCCGACCCACTAATGTGCCCACTGCCCAGCTCTGAAGAGAAAATCCATACGATGGATAGAGCAGCACACACCAGACCGTATTTGGCGGCACATAAAACTGAGCTACGCACCGTCTACAATAAACATGTGTTGCAGAAGGATAAAAATAAAAATGCCAGCAGCGCCTCAAAGAAATGGATCAATGCTCTGATGCTCGATTTGCTTTAACATCCTGCAAGAAAATACCTACATATTCGCATTGATATGACAGACAGTTAATGCATTTTAGTTCTAGTTGGCCTGCCATGTTGTTAGGATCTTCCTTGGATGTTGCGACCTACCTTTGTTGGATGTTACGCATTATGTATATGCACGTTAACTTGAGTCTTTGCATCCGGGAGTAGGACCGATAACAGTTATAGCGCGTGTCGTCCAATTTCAATGAATCTTTATGCTGGCTGTTTTCCTTCGCTGGTTTTCCAAAGGTCCTAAAAATACAGTTTCCTCATGTTATCTACGGATCGTGGTCTTATTCTCATTGCTCTCCGCTACCTATGTAAAGCTAGAATATAGGTTCATAACATTATCCGATTGTTTCACTCGATTAAAGTTGCATCCTAAAGGCAAGGTGACATGGACCCGAAGTGTCGCCTTATTTGCTTGTCTGAAACTGCCTCGGGAAAGCAGTACTGTTCGGTGCGCCACCGCCAGCCTCGCCGATCATTGCCCGGTGCTCGATATAGCAGTGGTTCTATAGTTCACCAGATCAGCATCTAAAGACCTGAATATCTGGTTCGGTCTCATGTTTAGTGCGCAGTGCGCTCACAGTATTTCAGAATCGTGTGAAGTTTTAGTATTAAATGTAACGCATTGTGTGTTCTTTATGTTGAATAGTTTCTTTCTGTGAAAAGTTACGGTCTTGTGTGTCATCAGTGGCTCTAACGGAGATATAGTTTTGTCAAGAGTGAAGATGTGTCGTGAAAACCTAATTTTACTGTATTTGATCTATCGGTCAACGAGTGATGAAGTTGCTTAGGTATGCTATGTAATGGTTTCATCAGACAGCTAGCCTCTGAGAGCACATCCAATGGGTGTATGTGAGGTAGCTCTACGCGACAGCGGACGCGCCTCTTTGGGTCGCACGCTTTGCTTCCTGAACCTGCTGATTGCCGTGCTGGCCGAGACCGTGTTGGTGTTTCTGCTCATGTCGACTCCGCGCTGGTGCCGCGACCAGGACCTGTACGGCTCACAGGCAGTCGACTCGTGGTACCGACTGCTGCTGGCCACATCGCTGACCGCCGGTCTGCTGCACCTGGTGGGCGCCAAGGTGTGTCACGACTGCGGCTACTGGTGGAGCCGGGCCCGCTTCCAGTCGTCGCTACTGCGCTGGGTGCTGGCCGTGCTGGTGTCCACCGGTCTGACCGCCGCCGCGGCCGGCGTGACCTTCACGGCGCCGGCCCGGCTCGCCGCCGGACTGGAAGGCCGCCTGGCCGCGGCCATGGAGGGCTATCGCGACAACCCGAGCCAGAAGGCCTTCTTTGACCGGCTGCAGCAGCGCGGCCGCTGCTGCGGCGTCTGGGGACACCAGGACTGGACGACCACGTCCTGGCTGAGACGGGAGGACATTCCGGGTCGAGGTCCATCCTACGAGCTAAACGCCGCCTACGACAACATGCTGCAGGAGGACGGCAGCCTGCTGGTGAAGTGGGCGCCCTGGAGCTGCTGTGACCCCGAGTACGGCGACCTCTGCAACTCGGTGTACGAGCTGCTCCCCCACCCAGCCTCCAACTGCGCCAGTCTGAGACAGAAGAACAGTATGCTGCAGGCCGACTTGCCATCAGACGAGCAGTTGGAAGCGATTCGACCATACATCCCTCCTTCTCCTCCAACAACCACAGCGCCTGGCAAACAGGTAGGAGCTCCGTCAGAAGAGTCGCATGGTGGTGGTAAACAATCTAAAGGTAAAGGAAAACGAAAACCAGCAGGTAAGTCGAAGAAAACTTCAAAACCGAAGCCTGCTTCAAAACACAAAAAAGCGCCTGGTCCCAAAAAGAAGAAGCCGGGAGCGACGCGTAAACGTAAGAAGAAACCAAAACCTACTAAGAAAAAGAAGCCAAAAGCCAAGTCCAAATCAAACAAAGCTAGGACTTCCAGGAAGAAGGTGACAAGGCGACCGCACGTGAAAACCACTCGAAAGACCCAACCCACCAAACCACCCTGGAAACCACCTCCCGACTTCCCTCCTCAGCTCTTTGGTTTTGGCCCACCAAAGCCAAAACCAACGAGGAGACCAGGACAGGCGACCACAGAGTTTCGCTTGAAAAGACCTACTTTCATGTCTGGAGGAATGGGCTTTGGACCGCCTCCCTTTGCTAAGAGCTGGGGACCGCCTTCTGCGGGAAGTGGAGCCAAAGCTCCCCCGCCGTTTAACGGCTTTGGTCCCCCGCCCCGAAACAATGGACGCAGATGGAAAAGACATCCAGTTCTAACAGATACAGAGGTAAAAATTGTAACGCCGAGCATGGATATGCAAGTTAATGGACACTTACCTACAAATTTGAATAGAAACCCAGCTGTTGTCCTGAGAACCGAGGTCACCAGAAACGATCCTACAACTGAGTCAGTTTTTAGAGCAAATCACTTTAACCAAGACCGAAATAGGACCGCACAATACTTGGATGCGAAAAAAGAAGCAAACAAAAGCGTCGAAGCGAGAAGAATGAGGAAAAACTTACCTATTTGGAGCAGCAGTGGAAAGACATCGCAACTTATTTCTGGAATTAACCCATCAGCTACCGAGTATCATGTGCCAAAGGAACGGTTTTCTCAGGACTTTGCCAATGAGCTCAGTTCTGTTCAGAGTAGCTATCCCGGAACTCTCACCACTAAGTCAATAATTGGTATTAATGGAACAGAAAGAACGGAAGTTGACAAAAATGAGCCTCATTATATTTCAAAACACGAACAAGATGTCTATGGGTATAAACAGGCCAACTTGTCCAGAAAATCACTTGAAAAGAAGAATGGAGAGGCGGTAAACCGAGAGAAGAAGCATGGCAAGCATAAACAAGGGTACCGTCATGGCGGCGGTTTTGGTTCAGATGAATATATCGCTAGCTTGCAAGCAAAGGCTACAGAGATGATCAAGCTTGGTGCAGGTCCAGCTGACAGCAGACGCAGACCACATGAGCACTTGGCGGATGATAAGGACTTGCTGTCTATTCAGTACCGCTTGCTCCTTGAAATCGCCGACATTCTGAACTTTCACGACTTGAAGTCGAAGGCTGACGTGAAGGTTGAAGGAAGACAAGATAGTTTGAACCGACAAATAAGGGTAAATTTAACAACTAAGACTGCAACTGTTGCCACGCTGCAACCGGTTTCTAGTCCCTTTGAACTTCACATGAAAGAAGAGGAAAAACATACAGACATACCGTTCGCACAAAATCAAGACGCAGATGGCCGAGCAAAGTTTAGAAGCTACCAATTTCAAACTGTTCAACATGCATCTAGCATCGAATCAAACGACGCTTCCGGGACCACAAGAAGTTCTTTCGCACAAACACTGGATTCCCGAAGAGTTATGCCGAAGGTCAAGCTATCAAACATGACTATTGCAACAGGATTGGATACTGCTGTCACCCCTTTAAATGGTGAATTGCTGCCGACACCAGAGCCCATCATATTCCTTTCCACAGACATCACCACTGTCGCCCCTGAGGCCAGTCTCCGTTCGAGCGGTATATTCAAGTCGTCGCGCCAGCGCCGGCGGGCGTACTGGATCGTCGACAAGAAGCCGGACCCTCGCGCCCCTGTGCCTCCAGACCCGCGCTACAGCCTGCCGGATGGACCCAACAAGGACTTCCTCTTCACTGCGATACACGAATTTATGACCGAGTACCGCAACAAGTATCATGACTGTGACGCCCTCCTGGAAAAGGGAAAGAAGATTCTCGCGAAGATCGAGGAAGTCCCTGGTCTGCCAGAGGCTATGCAGGCCCGGGTGCGAGACAGCAGTGGCTACTGGACTCTCTACTATGTGGTCAACGGCATTACAACCACACTGGATCCGACGCCTTACGCCAAAGATATTATGAGGCTCATCGATCGATGGAGGGGTCAGGATTTCGAGAACACGTCTCCAAAAGAGGTTGCCGAGCGCGTGATCCGCTACTTCAAGCCGTGCATAGAGACCATTCGGCCTCCGCTGCGACCATCGCGGGACTGTCCGCCACCGTGGGAACCCGAGCCAGGCTGGTACCTGGCCAACTTTGACGATGATGAGTACACGACGGAAATACTCCGACCGACCTACAACGAAATGGAGGTGCTTCTCAACATGGAACGAACCGGAACCAAAGCTGTTGTCTTCACCGATTTTAAGAAGCAGCGTTTGAAGCGTGAGATTGCCAAAGTCAAAGAGGAGTTTGAGATAATGAGGGAATATGGCGTAGACGACCCGTGGAAAATGCGCTATGATATACTCTACTGTCGCCTGAAGCAGGATCCATCCGACGCGTTCTTCGAGTCGGGCTGTCTGGCGGCGGCCGGTGCGCGGACGGCGGCTGTGTTCGGTCCGCTGCCGTTCCTGCTGCTGGCCGTGGCCACGCTCCAGCTGCTGGTGGCAGTACTGGCCCGCTACCTGCAGTCGGCCAACGAGTCGGCGGCTCGTCACGGCGACCTGCGGCTGACCGCCTATGGCTGTCTGCTCGGCCAGGCCACCGTGCTGCCCCCTGAGGCCACCGACGACAGTGTGGCCGCCATCTACACTGAGGAGGACGAGCTGGCTGAGGGAGGCATCAAGCTCACCAGGCCGGAGGAGAGGATAAAGGCCCAGCGGCCAGCGCCGGCCGCGTCCCGGCGCGACAGACGCGATAGAAGGAAACCCAAGAGAAGGAAGAAGAAGAAGAGGCGAAAGGCTAAGCGGAAGGGAAAAAAGAAGCGTAAGAGGAGAAAACGACGATAAAATGTATGTTTCATGTATCTGTGTGCGTTCCTCGTTGCAAGATAATATATTGTAGCTTGTTCCTCACTCCCTTATTTCCTTTCTAACTGAAGCTAGTCAAGAGAAAGGGCCGCCTTTTTAGCAGTGCTTCAATTAATCTCATATTTTATGTATCTCGACAATGTCGGGAATGCGATCAAATAGCAGCCTTTGCGACTTGACAACACTTGCACCCCACTGTTTTGAATAGTGAGGTAACGGTAATGCTTTATTTTGTGCAACGAGCTCTTTTCCATAAACACAGTGATAAGGTGAAACATAAAATATGTACTTCGAAGATTCAAACGACATTGACTGACGGTAGGGAGCGGTACAAACAACAGATTAATGTTCAGAATGCGACATTATGGCTTGTTCTTTGCGCAACGGAGCACGCTTGGCAGTCCGCAGTATTGTTAGCACTGAGTATATTGTGTCAGTCCTACGCTGATGCACCAGGTGCAATCTTAGCCCAAAAGTCGTGCTTTTTGGGATCTGCCAGCACTGTATAATGCTGGTCTGGCATAGGTAACAGAACAGATCTGATGCGCAGTAGTTGCCAACTAAACAGTAATGACGGATCAATTCTGAAAGGCGAGTCGGGCATAAGAATGATCCCCGTCATGGCGTCCCGTAATAGGAGGCGTCTTTCGCTCAGGAATGCGTCATCTCGAAATCGAATGAAGTGTTTGAAAGTGTGCCAGATTCTGAGGCACGACTGTCGCTAAGATTGCACCTAGTAAAGATGGTCAGTTCACACGCGGCCATCGGTCTTGTTGTCAAACCACACCACACGATCCGAGTATCACAGCGTGCTCGTAGTTTGTTGTCACTTGGTGGCACAGAATAAGTGAAAATGGCTATCCTCCGATGGTGTATCTTCTACATCTGCTGATCTTAAACATGAGAAAAGGAAGAGAGACGATGTTCTAGTTATGTCTACCTTAGTCGAAATAGCGTTGCTTTGGAATTGAGGTATTCGTAAAGGAATACACAGATAAACGAGCTGTGTCTATGTCGTTATGAATCACCCACGAGAGACGGGAGACGAGGCTGATTAAAATCTTTGCACGCTCACTCACACAAATACAGAGACCTTCACTCAAACGCGAGCATCGATGGAATAAGACCTGACGGTGAGCGTTCCACAGGATCGATTTAGTACATGTATACACACACACACACATACACACATGACATGCAGAGGCGCGAGGATCACAGAGAGATGGCTCCACACCGCCGACGGTGGCGCCGCCGCGGGGGTAGCGGGAGTGATGGGTGTGAGCTGGGCGCGCTCTTAGCGCCCCCACGTGCCGGCCGTCGGCGCCGGCCCGATGGTCCACAGCGTCTCCAGCTAGATGGTCCACACCTGCACCTTCTCGGCCACCACGCACCAGTTGGCGTGGTCGTAGTAGGAGGAGATGATGTGCAGGTTGTCCACGTACTTCTCGATGAGTCGGTCGAGCTCCTTCTCCCTGAAGACGTGGTAGTAGCGATGGTGACCGAGCTCACCACCGCGGTCTGACGGCAGAGAGTCCTCCGACGAGCCCTGGCGACTCACTGGAACCTCTTCGCCTTCGGGATTCTCTCCCGCAGCTGCTGCTGCCGCCGCAGCAGCCTCCGCCCGGTCGAAGATTTGCTTCGCGGTGATGGGAGGCGAGGCGGCAGCAGTGCCTGACTCGCACTGCGTCTGAGCCAGTTTCAGGGCCGACTCGAGCGGCCCGGCCGACCTGTAGCCGTCTGACGTCGAGAGACTGGACGTTGAACTGACGCTGGAGGCAAGCGAGGTAGCGGCGCCGTCGGACTCGGTGGCACGGCGACGGGCTGAGGCGCCGACACGCGCCGCCTCCGGCTCGGCCTCCTCCAGCACCTGTTCGAGCGGCGGCGCGTCCAGACGAGCTAGAGTTACCTTTCGACGACCCCTCGGACTGCTCAGGCGGACTGGTGGCTCTGGCGAGCTGCTCAGGCTGTCGTCAGTTTCGCACGGCGCCGACAGGTGGCTCCCAGGTATGGACGTTCCTCCGGTTTCAGAGAGACCACCTGATGTAGATGGTTCCGCTGAGGAGAGAAGAAATCACGAGTCAGACGGCCGTCCAAAGTAGTCTCAAGTGACTATCTTTTCAAGGATTTTACTGATACCGTTCAGTCTTGAGTCTACACTCTACACGATACTGTAAAGCTACTCCTGCTTAGTTTCTAACTTAATTGAAGACTTAATTAGTTCGAGGAAATATAATTGCAGGTGTGCATATAGTTACCGTTTGTGTGTAACTGTGTATGCATCTGTCCAAGTTCCACGAGAAAGGCTATCTCCCGACTGACCTGATGATCTGTGCACGGTGCGTTCCCGCTCCTGCTGTTCGATCTGGCGGTCCAGCTCCTGGATCTCCTGCGCCGACGGCCAGTCGGAGGCCAGGCTGATAACGCTACACGCGCTGCTCGGACTGCTGGCGCTGCTGCTGCTGGTGCTGCTCGCGCACGAGCTCTCCGAGTCCAGATCGTCCGTCTCCGGGTTAAACACCTCGAATGTCAGGTAGTGAGGCGCGACCCGCCGAACGCCCTGCACGTTACGGAAGCCCTGCACGCCAGCGCGCCGGATGATCTCGATGTTTTCACCCATGATGAGGGAGGAGACCTGGCTGCTGACTCCAGACGGCCTCAGCCCGCCGGTGGTGGTGCCACTGGTGCCGCTGGTGCTCCCAGTGGTGCCACCACTGCTACCACTGCTACCACTGCTATAGGGTGTGCTGGCCCCTCCACCGCTGCTACCACCAACGGCACCACTGCCACTGTCGCTGCTGCTGGTCTCCGAGAGGAACTTGAAGCTGGAAGAATCCGCACGTGGCTGCATGGGTGATGGTGAGGGCGGTTGCACAGAGCCAGCCATGAGCGCAGAGACACGATCCCGTACCGCTGGACCGGAGGGCGGTCGTTGGAGGGCGCCTGCGCCACTACTCATTACCACGTCTGGTAGGGAACGCGGCGCCACAGGGGGTTCGCCAGACATCGCAGGATGCTTGCTGGTGCTGCTGCTGGCATGAGATGGAGGTGCGTTGTGCGTTGAAGGCTCTGGTGGTGTTGGCGCTGCAGAAGATGTAAGGACGGTTCCCCCACTTATCCGATCTGATGAAGGCAAAGAGGTGGCTCGAGAAGGAGGCGCTTTTGTGAAGGTTTTGGTGGCGTCTGACGAAGAAGGTGCGGTGACTGAGCTCGCAGAGCCCGCTGAGCCCGCTGCTCCTGCTGGAGGTTCCATCAGATGAAAGCGACCGTGAAGGTTGCTTTGTAGTATCTGAGCACCCAGATTTGGGGGACCTTTAAAACCACCTCCCCGACCGGGAACAGCCGTCAGTCGGGTGGGCGATACGGGCTGAACGGAAGTTAGTGGCGACTTGGGCGACAGCTTTCCATTGGAACCGTCTGACGACTCGCTGGAAGCAGATCTACTCCGCTCTTTCGCCTCTGTCTCTGTTGCCTCCACCTTGGGAACAAAGATGACTGAGACGCAGCTATCCTCGGAGTCTAGACTCGTGTCACTCTGGAAGCTATTCTCCTTGGAGCTATCCGAGCTCTCCTCCCGGGACGTCTTTCGCTCGCGGGGACAGTACCGATACAGACCGCGTCGGTCCGGCCGGTTACACCCTGGACCTGACATCAGGCACCCCTTGGTGACCGGCTCCGGCTGCGCCCTCTCCGGCAAGCTGCAGCTGCGAGGGCCTGGACATCGCGCACCAACTGACGGTTGTGGGGCAGCAGCGGGCGCCGGCGATGGTCGCTCAGGTACCGCCTCGGCTGCGCTGCTCTGTTCCGGCTCGGCTGCGTCGGTACGCATGGCGGAGCTGTCCGTCAACTGGCGCACCATTCTCACAAGACCGTTCTTCAGTGAACAGGGCTGTGGTTCGCTCTCTGTGAGCTTCTCCAAGCTCTCACCTAGCTTACCAAGGCTATCTCGCAGAGCCTTGAGCCGGCTGTAGTTGGCGAAAATGCCTGCCTTCGGAGCCTCTTGAGCGCTCGCCTGCTTACCATAGATGACGTTCTCATTGAGGCTCTGTTGTTTGATGATCTTGGAGCGAATCTGCTGTCTCTCGCCGGCCCAGTCACGTCGCATCAGGTTCTCGTTTAGAGAGGTCTGCTTCAGGATGCCGCGCACAGGTCTGGCTGTTGGCGGCAGCTCTTCACTGCACACGCGAGGCACGGCTGGCTCGTCACCGAGGCGCCGCTGCCGTACCAGAGAAGGCTTGGATGTGGCCTGTGTGGTTTCTGCTCCGGGCTCTGCCGTTTCCTCGCCAGCCTCAGCCCCTTCCACACCGTCACGAACGTCATTCTCGGGCACCGTGGTGAGCGAGGCCTTCATCGGCTCACATGCGCGAACCCGTGAATCCAGCACACTGTCACTTTTCGATTTCTTACCAATAACATCGACGGTGAGTTTTTCACGAGGCAGTGTAAGCGACTGTGTGGAAAACGTTACCGTCTTTCCACCACCCTTCTTCACGGTGACTTGTTCTCCGGGATCTTCAAACATGAAACTACGCGGCCGGTCCCCCTCACTGTCAGCCTTACGTCCTAGAATGGAAGCCGAGAGAAGGCTCCACATGTCCCCGACACTGCGCGACTTGAACGCGGTGAGCTGCGGTCCTCCACCGGTGCTGGACGACTGCTCGCACCCGAACGTGTTGCGACGTCGAGGTGCCTCCTCCAGACCGGAGACGTCGTCGTCCAGCCGGATCTCGATCAGCTGGCCGTCAGTGGCGCCGTCACCCGCCTTGGTCGGCTTGGTCTCCGAGTAGCTGGGCCAAGGCGAGAAGATCCATGGCCGCGAGCCGTCCACCTCGCCGCGCCGGGCCAATTTCTGTGGAACATCACCACCAACATCAATGCTTATGAGATGGTGTTGATAGATCTTAAGCAGATATAGCTTTTGCAGAAATGTATCAGGAATGATGATGGGAGCTCTGATGCTCTTGGAGGCGGAAGGCTTATCAAAATAGCTTACTAAACATGTGCAGAACTAAGGGAACACAGTTTTCGTTTAAGTGGCAACACGTCTTGCGGAAAGTTCTGGCATTGGGACGGTGTAGCCAGGTGGTCGTCGCGTCACTCACCTGGAGCGCTCGGCGCACGAAGCTGTAGCACGACTCGCTCGGGGACGACAGTCCGGACGAGCTCTGGGACGAACTAAGCATGGTCGGGTCGATGGAGGGGATCCGGTGGGAGCGGCGACCCGCACGACGCACGTGCAGCCTGCGACAGACGAGGTCAGTTGGCGTCAGGTTGGGTTATCTGGCTAAGGTCGTTTTCATTCTGGCTTGTTTGAACGCTAACGGAAAACTCAAATGGGTGGATATTTACCCCTCGTCCGTGCGCAATTTGAAACAGCTTCTAGGACCTAGGTATTCCTCGCATATTGTCAACTCCTCCACACTTTTCCTACGAGCTTAAATTCGAGTGCGAAAGTTAAAATTATTTCGTTGGTTTTCTAAGTTTAGTATTGCAGTCCACCAAGTGTCGTATAAAGTGTTTAACGAGTTAACCATCATCGAACGATCGACCGCCATCCGAGAGACACCGACACCATCTTGTGCCTCCGACGGATTTGAGAAGAGAATTCTGCTCCGTCTCCATAAGAATGTCTTCACTTCAGTACGATACCATGGCATCGAGGCAGCTCGGACCCTCGGGACAACAACATTGGATGGGGATCGGCCGGTTTTCAGATTGACAAACCGTTGCACATGCCCTCGTTGCCTTTGCATCTCCTTCTGGCGCTGTTCCACTAACCTGGACCTCGGTGACCTGGACGAGTCGCTGTCGCTCGTGTGCGTGAACGCGCTGTAGTTGAGCGGCTCGTCGTCCGAGGTGGTCGAGATCACCTCCGGCTCGGCCAGTGAGGTGCGCTCCTCGCTGGCACTGGCTCCCACCGGCTCGGCGCTCCACGGCACCAGCACGTCCTGGCTCTCGAACTGGAAACAGGAAACGCCACTCAGTGGGGGAAGTCCTGGAAGGTCATCTGCTCAGAGTCCTATTTCCAGCGGACCATCGGCTCCTATACTATCAATCCCCATTGACATAATGAAATAATTCTATGATTTTTAAAATGCTAACGTAATAGAAAAGCCCGGACTTGAAACGTCCAGTTATTTGCCATTTGCGCCAACCTAAACCCAAAGCTTTGATGTGTTTCGTAGGCCTGCAAGAACTGCTTTATTTTACCCCCAGGAGCTCCTCCGTTACTCTGACGTTCACATCCCTGCATTCCTCTCGGAGGGCACTAAAGAGGCCTGTGAATGTCTTATGGATAAGACGTACACGATGCGTTTCCACCTGCCACGATTACCTTCCTGGCTCGCTGCTCCATGGCCCAGACTGTGACGATGAGCCGGCCGCCGATACGCAGCACCCTGGCCAGCTCCCGCAGGGCGCGCACCCGCCTCTCGGTGGTGGCCAGGTGGTGGATGACGGCCACAGAGACGGCTGCGTCCACCGACTCGTCGCGGAATGGTAAACTGAGCGCGTCACACACCACCACCTGGGGGTTCAGTGTTACAGCGTCACATAACACCAGTGGGTAGGCGTCATACACCATCACCCGGGGGAAGGTGCGTCACACGGCGTCACACACCACCACCTGGGAAAGCATCACATCCTCAGTGTCACACACTGATGTACCGTCACATAACGTAACACAGTGTCACATACCGTAACGATACGTCGCAAAGCCTTGCGTGCAAAATGACCGTCGCTCATCGTCACGTTGTAACGCTAGTGAACTGTGTGTAATAGTCAGTGGGGAGTGCGTTGTGGTTGGTGGGAGCGGTAAGTGGTTGGTAGGACGTAAGAGACAGTTGGTAGAGGATGTGTTACGGTCGTCTGGGATTGTGTGCTGTGTTAGTACATGCTGCGGTCGTTTGGATTTGCAACCGTCATCAGGGAGTGTGTAGCAGTCAGCGTCGGTGAAGAGTTATCAGAGGTTTGTAAGTAGTATAGCGGCCAGTGGAAGTGTGTAGCAGTCAGCATCGGTGAAGATTTGAAGAATTAGCAGTGATCGGTGAGGAGTATAGCGGTCGACAGAGAGCGCATAACCGTTGTTATGGAGTGTGTAGCAGTCGGTGTCGGCGAAGAGTTATCAGTGGTTTGTAAGCAGTGTAGCGGTCGGTAGGGAATGCCTAGCAGTCGGTGTCGGTGAACAGTTATCAGCGCTCGGTGAGGAGCAGAAGCAGACCGCGTCGGGAGCACGCTACACCCCGCTGGATCAATGCTCAACTCAGTCACGCACCAGTGCGGCCCACCCGACCGCTACGAAGCACCGCACGGGTTCTGTTTTCACTGCTTAGCATCCATACAAGAGTAGCGACAAAACAGAGCTCAGCAATCAGCATGCAGCATAGAAATGACCTTATAATGGGGGAACTGCGTTGAGTATTTTACCCAAGAGTCTGTCCTTGCAAAGGTCGACTATTTGGTTTTCCCAATTGGCAGCCGAAGTATGGCCCTGTCTACCAGTGGGTATGTAGATAAAATTGCGGCGTCTCTGTAGCTGTCATCTCACCTGCTGTCGGGTCTGCCGGGCGGCGGTCACCAGAAGACCCTTGCACCGGTCTCCGCCCACAAAGTAGGCGTCCGCATTCAGACTCAGGTACTTGCCATCGCCACAGCCTGCAATGCAAGTCAAAACCAGATTGACAGCCGATCGCTGATCTATTCAGTAGACGCTTTCAATGAGGGTGCCTATGTATATTTACCGTGGCCGCTGATTGATTTATCACATACTAAGGTCCAGTAAGATTACTTACTGGGATTTATCCCATTTGTGGAAGGATCTAGATCGATGGCCGCGGCAACGGACGTGCCTCCGTGGCCAAATTGGAATATTGAGCGTCATGGGCACAGACTATTGGGTTCGACCGACCTCGTGATGACTCTAGGGGCCATCTGGGTCAACGTTTTCAATTTTTCCCCCCTAATTAATATAATCCAACCAGGGCGTGCAATAATTTATACGGGACAATAACAACGACGGGGCAATGACGAAAATCAGGCAATAAGCAGAAGGCAAAACGAGGGAGTTGGGTCAGCGATGCAATGTTGCAGGACACATTTTGAGAAAGAAAGAGCGCGCGAGTGAGAGAGAGAGAGAGAGAGAGAGAGAGAGAGAGAGAGAGAGAGAGAGAGAGAGAGAGAGAGAGAGAGACAGACAGACAGAGACAGAGACAGAGACAGAGACAGAGAGAGAGACAGAGACAGAAACAGAGAGAGACAGAGACAGAGACAGAGACAGAGACAGAGACAGAGACAGAGACAGAGGGAAGGGGAAGAAAGGCAGACAGTCAGACATACCTACTGGCAGACAGACAGGCAGGCAGACTGACAGACAGACAGACAAACAGTGGCAGACAGAGTGACTTACCGACGTCACAGACCAGTGATCCGGGCTCCAGGTCGGCGAGGAACTGTCGGACCCGTGGCCAGGGCCGATGCCGCAGGTCGGTCAGCTGCTGAGCCATCTGACAGTACACGTCGTGCACATAGGTGCGCTCCAGCGCTACCGAGCGCGCCTCCCGCTCTCCGCCCTCCTCTGCGGGCATGGCGCCGCCGGCGGCCGCGCTGATCATGGTTTCGCGCTGTTCGTTCAGTGTCCGGACGCAGGACCATTGGCGAGGACACGGGCGGACATGCTGCGACTCTGTGTCCGTTGTCCGGTTACTGGAGTCAGCTCTTCGATGGCAGCTGGCCGGCTTATCTAGATAGATGACCCTAAGAGGAGAAACGCCGATGTGAAATTGCGACCATGATTGGAACAGCGTTAATTAAAAATCAATAACAAAGATCGGATGCTGGGGTCATTGACCTGACTCATCATCCTGTGGAAAATATGGAAATATTGGTTACAAAAATGAGTGCAATCCGACGGAATATAGTTTTTAGGAGGTCGGTTGCCCCGAGGAAATCGTCAAAAATCCAGGCTGGATTAAAAAGGTTTAAGGACTTCATAGAAACTCATGGCATTTTCGAAGTGCTATGACATTTTGAGAGCGAGAAATTATCTTATCTCAGTGTACTCAAATCACCAGTGTATTTTTTTGTGAGTGAACATAAAGTGGACGTTAAAGGCCTTTGTTTGTTGTAGCACAGTCGCATAAGAAAGCCGTGTGGGCGCAGGCACAACTTTGTTCTTTGTTGATACCTCATGGTTTTCCCTATCTACAAAGTTATTCGTCATACGCATGACGTACAAGATAAGTGACAATGACTATTCCCAATAGAATTTACGATATGTCAGACCTGTCGAGTATCAATGAAGGCAAATAACAAAAGTAAGCGATGCATGTGCATTGTGCAATGACGATTTATACATGACAATGAGCCCACAAAGCGATATTTTCGCAATTGAAACATGGAATACCCCGACAAGTTGTGATATATCCAGTGGTATTGCGTTCCCTGTTTTGGTTACTTACCGTTCGTGCGGCCGGTGTCGCTGCACAGAGGCGTGCGTCGTCCGCGCAGTAGCGGACGTACAGCCGCCGCCGCCGTCACCGATCGAACGTCGCTGACGTCACGGTACTGGAGCGCGCGCGGCCGGCGCCCCCCCCCCCCCCTCCTCCGTCGGCGGCGACGGTCGACGGCGAGCTGACCGAGCCATTCACAAACCGGGCGCCATCCGAGCGTTCAGCCGAGTATGTACTTACGTGCTGTGGCTGTCACACCCACTCCTCCGCTCTGACCGTTAACCGCCCACCTGCGGCTGTCGGTACTGCTGGCAGGTGGCCAGGGCTTTGGGCCACCACTGCCTTGGGTCATGGGGAACATCGTCGGGCTAAAAAGAGCCAAAACCTGGCAGGCAGGTGTGTAAGAGGTACACAAACGCTGGATCTTGACTGGACATGGGACCTGGTTCGTGCTAGCTTGATAGCATCATGCATGTCTTGCATGATGATTCGGCGAGGTACGCAAAAGCAGACGGACAGGAGTCAAAACTGTTGACGGCAGAGCTACAAGTGCGCAAAAAATGGATGACGCTAAATTTCGCCATTTTTAGTCATACATCATATAGGGGAGAAGACTTCTTCCCTTTCCCTCGCGCGCCAAAACACCAAAATTGTGCCATTGGGTGCTGTTTTGTGTTGTGTTGTCAGTTGTGTAGGGTAAAGTAGGTACTTGTGACCCTTTACGCACCATGCAACATTCCATGTTAGGTGCAGCAACGCAAGAAATCAGAGAAATAGGTGCAGAAATCAGAGCACAGCCAGCCATCGATAGCAGGGCTTCTATAATTGGCCAAGCACCGACTCTACCGAAAGGTCTCGCGATCACTACGCATCAAGTGCTTTGAATTATTTCCCAAGACGTTACCTATTGACGTGAGAGTCAATAGCCAAGCGTTTATCCTGGGCCGCGGCGGCGGACCAAGCATATCAAGTGAGATGGGGGCGTTATCATTGCAGCTTGGATCCTAGACTTCCCAGTGACAAGCTGTAAGTAAACGGTGTTCGGAAGGTCATTGACGTTCATTCCGACAAATTTCCATTTATCTTCGATCAGGTCGAATGTGCGAAGGCCACTCGAGTCCATCAAATTTAGAACTTTCCGTTGTAGTACATCAATTTCTTTCCTGTTATCTTCAACACTTTTATTTCAAAGTTTCTGTTCACTGTATTTCCACCATGATGAGGGTGTTTTGTTTTCTTTTGCGCAATATTTATGATAAATGTGCGCTAGATTAGCCCAGCGCCGCGTTGCTGGCTACTGAGCTCATCACTTGAACCCAGGCAAAGCTCACTCGCTGGATTCGGCCGAAGGGCCGAATGACATTACGCAAGTACGTACATATAGGAGACAGTGTACGTACACTGCCAACAGTCCATATCAAAGGACAACGCGAACACTAAACCCCGAACATGACGTGACAACTTGACATTCGCGCACAGAACAACACTGTTTCTGTACCTAACGGCAGCAAAACTCCTCAATGTCCTATCTCCCATCTTCAAAAAAAAATCCACAGCTCTAACATCGAGCTTCACATAATCATCATTTGGAGTACATACATACAGGTTTCCTAACGCAGCGATTGCACTGCACCACTTTACCACTTAACACTTTACCGTCGCAACATCAAACACTGGAGTCAGTAGGGTCGGCATAACCTCCCATGCACACAGAAGAACGGAAGTTAGCCCGGGCTGGAACTCCTCTGATTAACCACAATGGAGTTTCGGCCCATACACCTACCCACGGGCCATTACAATGGGGCTGTGGCCAGAACATCGTTCCGTCAAATGCATATGCGCCATAACACTGGAGTTGAGGTTGGAACACCTCCTCACACGCATACGCCTTACCACTGGGATAAGAACGAGTGGAACACTACACTCGTCTACACAATATACAAATTACGCTTCCCGTAACGTGCACAGTTGGAGTTTCGGTTGGAGTACCACGCCGCGCACTCGCGCTCTAACGGTAAACCATGTGTTTGCCCAAAGTCACAAGCACTGTAACATTAAACACTGGAGTTCACCGTGGGGCTAAAACACTTACCTGTCCACTTGTGCCATGGCGATAAGCACCGGAGATGTCCATTGTCCATAGTCATACGCGTCGTAATAATAGGCACTTGAGTTCGCACCAGACCACTGCTTTGTGCAAACGCACTGTAAGGTTCAACGCTGGAGTAGGGGCCGAAACACTGCCCGGGAGACCGACCCGTTTGCGCGTGCCTGGCAGCTAGCTGGTCGGAAATATCCGCACATCACACTGGAGTCCTTGAGGTCCTCACTCGCGTTCACTCGTTCGCTCTCACTCGCTGTATCTGCACACGCTCTTTGACTCTCATCAGCTGGCTGTAGCGCAGCGTCATTCTTTTGTGTCCAACACTGGCCAACCCACCCACTTCAGTATATAGGCGAGAGACGCCACTTTCAGCTCCCCTAGACGTGTCCACTGGGCATGACCGGGTCGCGCACACCCTGTCCCGAGTTCTGCTCCTCCCAGCGTTTGATGCGGTGCAGCGGAAGACTGATGACGCCGGCAGCCAGGAAGAAGGAGCCGGCGATGTAGAACGTCGCGTCGTAACTCTGTGTGGAGTCGTACAGAGTTCCTGAAAAGGAAAAACAATAAATACAGTGGCTAACTATAGGAACTAACTGCACTTTTTTCCAACTAACTGTAGTGACTAACTGCAACCCATTCGAGGTCATTCGGATGGGTTTGAAAAGGTAGAGCAATTACCTAAATCAAATGTAGCTTACTGCTTCAGCAAATAGTCAGTTTACCTGCAATGGGGCCGCCGACAGTTGCTGCGATTCCTTGGAACAGCAGCATCAGGCCGAACGCATTGTTCAGGCGATGAAGCCCCAGCATCTCCACCACCAGAATCGAGCGCAGCGACGCAAAACACGCTGAAAATAGAAACATGCAGTGCTGACGTGAAGTAACCCAACATTAAGTAATTACATGAATAACAATGGTTTCCATATCAAGTTTTCTCATGTCACGGCTATTGGAAGTCTGTGGTGCACATTTTATTGACGTTGCGTTCCGATGGAACCCCTGAAAGTGGCACGAATATTCCTACACAGATGCTATCCCTCACAAAACGTCAAAACCATTGGGTCAAGGTAAAAGAAAAGATATTTACCGATGGCCATGCCGAAGACGACGGCGTACGCCATGAGCATTTCGTATGTCTGGAAGGAGGGTGACGCGATGCTGGCCACGCCGGCCGTGATGATGGCGGCGTTGTTGACGAAGAGGGCGTCGACGCGCGGGTGGTCGCTGATCCATCCGCAGCCCACCCGGCCCACCGTGTTCATTATGCCGATCAGAGAGATGATGAACGTGGCAGATGCCTCGTCAATACCCAGCAGAATGGCGCGGTCTGCAACACACGGGTAAACATGCGTAAAGTAATAACGAATTGCCGCATCTTTTCATCAAACTGATTGCACACGCGCACATATTGAATTAATAGGTAGAGACAGCAACAGTTACTCTGCAATGCTATTGTCATCTAACGCCATCGGTGTGAAAGCACATGTCTCGATCAATCAGGAACTGGATCAACCACAGACTGCCAGTAGATCCAGGGGCTTCATGGATCTAGAGATAGGTCGCCAGAGAATCGACATTCATTTGATCAGAAGCTAGAGGGATCAAAGGTTGGGGAAATCAAGTGCTACAAATAAACGGTTGAGATAGGGCAACTGGACATCATTGGGGCAGGCTTGTGCCTTTTGTACGGCATGAGACTGCTACTCAAGCCTTACTCAGCACCCACACACGACGGGCTCTGTGGTGTCGCTCCGGTACCAGTTTATCGAACTGTATCACTACCAAGATGGCGCTGCCGACGGTACCCGCCGCCGACTGAAACCTGTCGTCCCAGCGCTACTCACCGACCAGATACATGAACGGCACGAACAGCCCCATCAGTGCCAAGAAGCCAGACAGCGACAGCACCATGAAGGTTGGGCTCCGCAGCAGCGAGAAGTCCAGCATGGTGGCCAGCACGTCCGTGAAGGGCCGCGAGCAGCAGAAGCAGTAGGCGGCGGCGCGTCGCTCGGCCTCGGTTTCCTCCTGTTCCGTGGGCCACGCTGGTGGCAGGTGCGTCACGGACGCGTGGTATTTGTCCGCGCTCTCCTGAGGACGTCAGAGTGAGGTATGAGTGATTCCAATATCGGAAGCTAGGCTCTGAACACGCTACTGCATCTGTGTTGATTCATAGATCGGCCTTTTTCTCGACTTTTTTAGTTGTAGCTAAGGACCTCATTATTTCATGACTTTAGAAACTCTGGTTCGATGGTATTCTATTTCGAGACTGACAACCCTGTGGGTCTGCTTTTACTGACTGACAAAAAAAGATCCATATTCCAACTGCAAGGCTGAATGTTTGCAGTAAAAAAGTTGGCAGCAGCACGCCAGTCATAAGAACCCAGCCATGAGGATCATAAGGTATAAAACAACCCATAGAGGAACCCTAAAAATGCCCGAACTCACGACGCTGGCGAACTCCTTGAGTTTGAGCACGCTGCCGCTGTAGAAGATGTCCTCCCTGTACAGGGGTCGGGCGGCGTCCTGCACGGAGAAGCGCCGCCTCGTCTCCGGCAGGCGCAGCTGCTGCGAGCCGCCGGGGTGTGCTGCGGTCGGCACCTTCAGCTGCCCGGAGCCGGCCGCCGAGCCGGGCGACAGCTCGTTCCGGTTATCATCGGTGTGCGGCGCGGCGTCCTGACCCGCGGCCGGCTCCGGCTCGTCAGGCGGCGGCACGACCTCTAACAGAGGCCGGCCGGTGTCTGCCGGTGCCGCCTGACGCTCCTCGGCCTCGGCATAGCCGCTGTCGGAGGAGCGCGGGCTGAGCTTGGCCGGGGCCGGGCCGGCGCCGGGGGCTGGGCTGCCGCCCGGTCGCGGGGTCGGCGGCTGACTGCTGCGACGATCCATCAGGATACGTGCGTAGTTGATGGACGGCAACGACTTGCGGTGCTGCCCGTCGGCAGGGTGACGGCGCTGCTCGCTGCCCCGCCGCGGCATGTGGTGCTCACTGCGTACCCCGGTGAGGGCGCTCGGACGACCGTCCACCGCCGACGGACGCCTGGAGACGGAGGAAGGAGTGAACAGTGAACAAGAATCAATGGATGACACGAGATGATAGCACGTAAACACGACTGCTCATGATCCGGTCAAAGGAAATCTGGTGAACTGAAGCAAATAGTTGGATATTCCAGACGGTAGTGATGATTCAATGGGCGCGCTGCTTCTTTCCTGCAACACAAGCAACGTCACATCTGAAAGAAAACACCACATTGATTACCTGAAGTTGCTGGCTGACGTGTTCCTGGACATGGCGGCCTCGATGGAGTACATGGAGCCGAACGGCGTCACGTCCTCCATCAGCTTATCGCGCGCCCGCTTGATGCGGATCATGAGCGGCGTGCCGGGAACGGAGGACGCGTCCACGGTCTGAGTGGTCTTGACCGGCTGCAGGGGCCGGAACAGCGCGCCGAACAGCGCGCACGTCACCACGATACCTGTCGGGATAGAAGGGTCAGGTCACCACACCACGATACCTGTTAGATGGAGGGAGCAGGTCACCACGATATCTTCCGCATACAGGCAACGGGTCATGGCAATGCGAGCAGGTCCGCAGTAGGCTAATAGCCAACAGGTCAGCAGCACGGAGTCCCGCGAGGGATTCTTTAAATGGCTTCGTTAATTATGGTAGAAGAGCCTCCCCTGGATCGGACGTCCTTTTCTCGTACTATTAATTTCCATTATTTGATTCGGCGGCATCCTCCTCGGTTAGTGGATTCGCCTATAGACGAATGGAAGTTTTTTTTTCGAAGTCTTTGGAGGAAGAGGATTTCTCTCTGGCTATAAGAGGTAATGCCAGCGGTACGTCTAGGCTGGTTTTGTTGCACGGCATTTGAAGCCAAAACATCTCTGACGTATTTGCAAGATGTATTCTCTCGACTGACCCCAATATTTCTGCTGTAATATGTGACTGCTCCCGTTCTCGCGGGAGACCAGTGATACGTCGCATCTGTGACATCAGGTGTTCCTGAGCACGGCCCATAAACATCGTGACGCAAATCACAGAGTTGGTTCATGTGGGGCATGCCGTCCAGTTAAACAACCCATCTCTGGATCGAGCTTGAGATGTTGCATTTCCCGACATACTTACATTATAAAATGATAGTTGATGAGTGACATCGTGAAAAATATCTAATGGATAAGCATTTCAAAAGGTGGAGTAGTGATTTATTTGAATTCAATTTTTTGCTATCAAGAGTTGCATACAGATAATGCAAACGATTGCGAGAGCACGAACATAACAATGGTAGATCTACGAGAGCTAACAAAGGATGAATCACCCCAGGCTCTGACAGCGCCCGTTACAACTGGAGCTGATTTACTGGAGGTGGTTGACCGTGTGACTGTTCTACAAATCACTGGTGACACGATCCACAAACATCTCGCCGAGTCGGACCATGCACCTAGTCAGCTCGCTCTCCCATGTGCACGCGACATACCGGGGGTCGAGTTCACCGGTCGAGTACGCCGCGGCGCGGAACGGAGCGACGCGTCTTTGTCCGAGAGGTGCAGCTGGTCTGTTTGTTGAACAGCCGCCGGCGGTCGGTCCGCCGCCGCGGCTGGCACCAGACCTTGAACTCTGACACAGTTTGGTCGACGGCGTGCGGTCGGGCCGGCGGCTGGCGCCTCACTCAGCCATCGGGACACGCCATGCAGTACACCGTCTGAGGAGCGGTACTGAGCCGTCTGCGCCGCGTCACCAGCGACCAGTGCGACATAACCCGACTGACAGCAACAGCCAGGCCACTGCAGAGCCGGAATTCTACTGTAAATATTTCACCTCGCCGCTACTGGGAATGTGCGAATGACCGATTTACAGCTCGACGTTCTTTCTGTATATGTAGTTGTGGTATTCAATGCATAAATGCTAAAAATGGCGTTTTCTTTGCATGCAAAACTTGGGTATGAAGATGTCTTTTGGCAGCTAACCTTGTTAGTTTAGTCGATGGTCTCTACAAAATCTGGTAAACAGCATGATAACCTTTAGATAGTTTGGGAATATAATTACCTAACATCAATCCACAGCGGTCAGTGTATTTTTCTCAAGTCGTAATCAGTTTGTTCAGGAATCCTGACAGCGTCGCTTATTTATGATTGAACTTCACCTGAGGGTAGTCATTTTTCATTTCAGATCATTGCTAATGTTAAGAGATTGCAGCAAGCTGTATATTGTCAGTGCTACTCGTGTTACCAATATTAAAGTGCCGTGCGCTTCTATCTAGACTTGATAACATCTTTATCTGCGCGGGCGGTATCAAAGAACACTTGTCATCGAACATCTTAACGAGAACTTCAGCATAAGATAAGCGTGACTGTAACGCTGGCGCGTTTCATTTTCCCTCCCCAAATCAACCCGTTCCCAAATTCATCCTTCATAACAGCAGCGCGCCGGCGACCAGACACCGCTGACCCGCCGACCATCTGGCCGACACCGGACGGCAGGACAAACACGGATCCGAGAACGCGCCGCCAAATGCTATTATCCGGCGGCCCTTACAGAGCCGTCTCACCGCCGCCGACCGTGGGAAGGGTCCAGCAATGGGTCCCAACCCCGGTCAAGGGGGGCCGGGGGGACGGATGAACAGAGGCACGCAGCCCCCCACGCGCGGCGACCGGACACCGTCAGCCTGGGAACCGGGACACAAACAACGCCGCTGCGGCAGCGGGAGGCCGGGGCGCCCGGGACCAAATTGACTACCGGCATCACACTTCAAAGGCAATTTCTTCAAAACACGGCTCAAAATAGCACATTTCCAGGATGTGCCGAGACTGGCGCCGACAATCAGCATCGTGAAACTGGGACAGAGTAACAATATCCAAATTCCAGTATGGCACGGCACATCCGCATTCCCGGGCCCATCTTCCCACGCTGGCAAACCTGGCCGGCGTGACAAATCTGCCGGCATCGCCAGGGGCAGAAGATTCAAATTCACCTATCGGCGCCCGAATATTTGAAGGGAGGAGGAGCACCCAGAGAGGAGAGCAGTCACCATGGAAACGGCACGCTGGAGGCTGCACAGCGGAAAAATGCATACGTTTCGGCCCAACATAACGTTAAATTTAATAGAAATCTCACCCTTTCGGCAGCCAGACTCAGCAGAAAATACAGAAGACTGGTTAGACAGAGAGAAGACATGGAAAATTGGCCCTTACTGGAAATTCAGAGAGCAGCAGAACTAGGAAGAAAGAGGCGGAGCGAAGACGGCAAATCCAGAGACAGCCCGAGGCAGATGGAGCTCCAGCAAAACTTTTAGGATTTTGGAGGACGGGGAGTGCAGTTCGGGAAGGAGGACGCTGGGCAGCAGTTGAGTTCGGCTCTGGGAGCGGTTCAGCTTAGTTGGAGAGTTGGAGGCGTTGGGGACGCTGACAGGCGGCAGTTCAGTTGGAGTTGGAGAGCTGGGAAGTGGAGTTCAGAGGTGGGCGAGACAGTCAGTTTGTAGCGGCAGGATGGAGAAGGACAGGCGATGGAGGGAGTGAGTTCGAGCGGAGAGGAGAGTTTGAGAGGAGGAGTCGGCGGTGATAGTTCTGGAGGAGGAGGATGGAGGACTGCCTGCCACTGGAGGACTCTGCGCCGCTCCGCCGTTCTGCCGCCCGCCACCACCGCTCCGCGGGCTGCCGCCAACTCTGCCACCCGTCCGTCGTCGCTGTGCCGCCCGCCCGCCGATAAATCTGCTACCAGCCGGCCGTCAGCCCTGTCGTCCACAGCCAACAGCTAAGCGGTAGGTCGGCACTGGAGGTCATGAAGCTGCCTTCCTATCATAATCCTTCCCCAATGTGCCCCGCCTGCTGCCCCGGCTTTTCTCTCGCCTTGGGGATGTAATTTTATTTAGACCCGTTTGGGGGGGGGGAGAGATCTGTACGTATGCGTGAGCGTGTGAACTTGTTGTATGATTGAGCGGCTTTGCGCCTTGATCTGGAGATAAAAAATGGGGGTGGCTGGGACATGTTATGTACGTATGTGTGAGCGTGTAATTGTTGAATGAGTTAACGGCATTGCGCCTTGCTGTAGGGTATCAAAAGGGGGTGATTGGGATATGTATCATTTTGTCACTTAATCAAATTTGCAAACTTGTCAAAAGCGGGGTAGGACTGGTCTTGAATGTGTGCGTGCGTGAGTGTAAATGTGAGCGCCCGGACGCATCAGAGTGACGGACCATTGGGACGAATTTTGGCCTTCATTACGCGAAAGGCGGTAGAACTTTCTTCAAAATGCGTGTGATGCTCAGCTACGTTCGTCTCGGTTACTCCAGCCGGTTGTCTAATATTCAGTTGCAGGGTCAAAGGACGGCACTTTATGTAAAAGCTATTTAGTTTAAAGTTGACATAGGTAATCTGGCACTCTGTTTTGGGGATCGGCTCAGTTCACTATGGTCTATGATTAGTTTAAGTCTAGTTTTTGCTGATCTTTGAAAACTCTGTCGTTTCATTGCTAGTTTCTCTTCCTTCGTTTTGGCTGAATATATCTTGGAAAAGTACTCACATCTGTTGGGGCTATTTGGGAGGAAAACATGAATGGATTAACTTGACGAGATGAAAGTGCTGAAGGAGAGAATGAGAGAATTCGGACTTCGGAGGGAATGGGAGGGCCGAGCAGAACACCGTTTCTGACACCGTTCACACGTCGGCATGTTTTTTTTTACGGAACACAGACACAGGTGGTAAATCACGCTGCATCTTACCCAGTTGTTATTGTCTTTGTAGCCGCTGTTTAATAACTAGAGATCTGATTCGTGACAGTCAAAGACAGGCAATTTGCGTCAGTAGAACTATCAGGTTTTCTTTAGTTGAGAGATCGGAGTTGTCGTAAATCAGCATTATGTGATTTAGTTCGTTTTGACAAGGTGTAAATCAACGTACGACCCAGTATATAATCGATCGCTTTAATGTCCGGTAAACGTTGTTTATTTCTCATTAGCTGCAAGTTAATGTAACGTAATGTTTTCAGCGTTTAGTTAGTCGCGAAACTCCGTGCGTACCTCAATTCATTATAAAGCGTAACTCAGTACTGAGCGGTTCGTGTCATTTCTGGGTCTCAGGCAAGGTTGACATGTGAAACAAAGCCCTTCAAAGCCCTTACCTTGTTGACGATTAACAATTTGTCATTTCCGGCGGGTTGAGTGCCCGAGCTCGAGCAAAAGCCAGTCAAATTTGAGGTAAATTAATGTAAGCCCGAGATGAGCTTAGTAATTTGACGAATCAGTTGTGATTTTGAATTATATTCTATTGGCCGGCATTTTTGTTTTCGCTCCGCTGTCATTTAATCGAGACGTGACCTACCTGTGAAATTAACATGCTCTACCTAACAGTTAACGTTACCTGGTTTGTATTTCCGGCAATATACCCCATAATCATCATTTGATTTCACGATTCTGATCGGGTGTGGCCAGAACGATTTGGCTAAGCTTAATTTACATTTGCCCGAACGCCGCTCATTATC